AATATTAGATTATCTTGTTATAGCGTGTAACGAGTCGCACACTGAAGATTCGACATGTGATGTTATTATAGCGCGTAACGAATCGCGCTCTGAAGATTTGACATTTGTCATCCTATAGTAGTTGTGGATTTAAAGCATGTATTGTGTGGTTACAAACTACTTATGCATGGGATGTGGTTTCGTATATATATAAGTTGTTAACTTATTTATTTTGGAGTCACTTGGGACATGGTTACTATGATATGGCTAAAGTTCGGCTTTAGTGCGGGAGGTATGAGTTCTCCCTAATTGAGATAGTGCGCACTTTGGGTGGTTTTCCCTGCGGGTTAGTGCCCGGAACAACCATTGATCTCGGCAGAATTCTGAGTCTAGATGTCCAAGTCTTCCATTATTTATTTTCACATTCAATTCCAAGTTAGCAATCATGTTTATATTGTGACTTGTGGTTTTGGCTATCGGCGATTTTGATGTTATTAAGGACATCCATGCTTTATGATCTTTGTAGATTTTAATGTTGTTAAGTACATTCTTGTTTTATGATTTTAATAAATCATTTTAATGTTGTTAAGTACATTCATGTCCATGATTTTTAATAAATCATTGTGAGCTTTTAATGTTGTTAAGTACATTCTTGTTTTATGATTTTAATGAATCATTATAAGCTTTTGATGTTGTCAAGTACATTCATGTTGTGTTGTTCAAATGTAAATTAGGAATGATCCTATAGATTCATTTGGAACATAGACATTAGGTGGCATAATCACTTATGTCGTTTTTGTTCTTTAGATTTCAAATTGATGACTTTGAGAATCTATGTTTGTTGCTTTGAATAGCATGCTCGTATGTTGTCGAATTGCATGAATGATGTGATTTATGCTAGAAATAATCTTAGGTAGCTTAGAATGCTCCCTAAGTCTCACATTGACATAGACGCTAGGCGGAATGAACCACAATGAATAAATCATGCAAACTTGTAAAACGTAGGTCGATGCATGCTCATTTCCTACGAGTAGCGTTATGTTACTCACCCCTACGATACTGGGGCATATTTCAGGTATAGGATTCAAGGTTAGAGATTCTCACCATGCTTGGATGATTGGGAACTTGAAAGGTTCAATTCTTGTGAAGGTTGGCTTGAAAAGCCATTTGTAACCTTATATGCCAAATGTGTATATTTGCTTCTAGACTTGTAATGTGTGCCTAAGAACACTTTTTGATTCTCATTTTATGTATATGACATGAGGCCAATGGCCAAACTCCTTTTGAAATTACATTTATATTATGGATGTTAATTTTTGCCTTCAATGAGAACATATGGAAAACCATGCGTTTTAGTATGCTATTTTGCACCGGAGCGTGCATTATGTATAAACTTCTTCCATTAGCATTCATTTAACATGTATGATGTGTAGCCAAGGGCCAAACGGTTAATTGACTCCATTTTGTATTTTTGGATTCCATGTTTTCCATTCCAAGTCCATTTTTGCCTTTTTGCCCGTTGGGGGGTCAGTTTTTGCATCGGCTATATTTTTAAGCCATGGACCATTGTAGTATGTCCTAATAGGTAAGTTACATTTGTGTGTATGGTCGTTTCCGGGCAAAACCTCATCGTTTGTGTTTTGGGCCTCCTACGTTTTCATTTTGCATTTTTGTTTCATATTCTGATCTAGGGGTATTCTAGACTTTTCAATTCAGTTTTATTTCCTTCTTTCAACATGGTTGAATAGAAACATGATTTTAGAGGGAGTTTCTTTTTCGTGTTTTTCCAGAAAATGCCATCTTGGCATCGGAAATCGCATCCGAAGTTCAGCTCTCAGTTTTTAAATTTAGCAGCTTTTTGGACCCTCTGGACCAGTTTTCTTGGGAGGGAATTTTGGGCATTTCACAGTAAGTTTTTTTCAATTTTTCTCATGAGTCACGTAGAAAACTTAATTTTGAGGGGGGTTTCTTTTTTGAGTTTTTCCAGAAAATGCCATCTTGGCTCTCAAATTTCCATTTTTCCCAGAAAAACCCCTGCTGTCAGGTTTTTGGGCTGCCCAATCTGCCTCCTTCACATGTAAACGGTTACGAGGGGTTTCGTAACCGGTTACATGTGCATGGGCAGTGTTTTTGGCGAGATTTTTGACCTCCTAACCGGTTAGGAAGGTCTCCTAACCGGTTAGATGATCTTGGGTTGGCACTTTTTGACCGTTTTGCCCCTTCTTCTTCCGTTAGCCATATCTTCTTCATCCGGACTCCAAATCAAGTGATTTTTGAGTCTAAGTTCATTAATTTTTCGTTGTCTTTCCAATGGTGTGCTCGGTGGTATCCACTTTTAAGATGAAAATGACGTTTTTGCCCCTAGGTCCATTCTTGTCCGTTTTTGAAATGTTACTTCCGCATTTGTTTCCTTTGGGTTCCGTGACCTCGTTGAGGGTCACATTGGCGTCTTAGAGTCATGTTATATCTCTAGAGACCGTTGTTTGTCTTTTGCTTCCTCATTTCGGATCCGTTATCGGGTCATCTTTCGATTCATCACTAACGCACCGGGTTGAAAAACTTGGGCCGTCACATGAGGCAAATTAACCAAATCCCATGTTTGAGTTTTAGTTAGTGCATCTGACTCTTCTTTTATTGCTTGCTACAATAAAAGGTTAAAAGATACCTCATAATAAAAGGTTAAAAGATGCCTCACAAAAAGTGTGAGATTCATGTAAGGTTGCAAGGACATGATAACAATGGAAATCACTAAGATATACCGGTGGAGCTCTTACCATAGTGGAATGACGAAGATTCAAAGTAGATGTATTGTCAGGTACCTCAGATGGGCTAGATGACTGGGACTCGGTCAAAGGATCCTGATGATTATGAAGGTTAAGAATCAGGAAAAAGATCCGTAAAGAATGTTAATAAAGGAAGAGCAAATGTATTATTGAGGAGATTGAATTTAGACAGTGTATGAAATATCTTGTGTTCCTAGAAGACAACATAACGAGAGACTTTGAGCCATTAAGATTGGATCATAGCACCAATACCCCTTCTATTCAATTCCATACCCAAGAAAGTAACAAAGTTGGCAAAAACGGTTAGTGAGCAAACTGAGTCTAGAATATGCCAAAGCTTGCACTCAATTCGACCATTCTGCTGTGATGTGCTTGGACAAGATGTGTGAAAAATAGTGCCATAATGTTTATTTGAAAAAATTCATTTTGTCGATATTCCATAACATTGTCAGAACATAAAATTTTGATGTTTTTGAGAAACTGAGTTAAAATCATGATATATGTTGAGCAACTCATAACAATTTTTTATCAAAAATATCCATGTGAATTGTGAAAAATCATTAATAAACATCATAAAATACCGGAACCCCCCATAGTAGACGCAAGAGAAGGTCCCTACATACTAAAGTAAATAAGGTCAAAATGAGCAGAAACACAAGACTCACTTTAATTAAAAGGTAACACGGGTTGTTTACCTAACTAACTTAAAATGCAATCAAAATTTCTAGCTTTAACTTAACCTAACAAGCCCTTAGAGACTAAGGTTTGAACACAAGGCAAAGAAGCATGACCCAAGAGAGAGTGTCACACAACTCAAGAAAAGAGGAATTGACTTGTGCAAATGCAGCAGAGATGGTGGGAGTAGGTAGATGGAAAGAGGAGATTTCGAACAATCGCCCAGTCTTACGCTTGGTCCCAACAATTTGTCTAGTCTGAGGATTCTGCACAACATAACCATCAGAAGAAAATGTTATGTTTAAGCCTAACTTAGTTAATTAATTAACAGATAAAATATTAAGAGACAGCTTTAGTGCAAAATATATATCAGGAACGAATAATTAGGAATGAGAAACAATCCCTATATGACTAATGGCCACGTGGATCCATTGGTTGTATGAATGCCGGATGAATGAGGTGTAGGAGTTTGAGTGGTAAGAAAAGTGGAGTCGAATGTCATGTGATTACAATAAGTAGAGTCAAAATATCAACATTTATTCTTACCTAGTGTGGTAGAAAGATAATAGGAAGATTCACCTTGTATTCTAATCAAAACTTGATTGAGATTTGCCTCAAGATCAGCCGCAGAGAATGCAAATGGGGAAGATAAAGACTTGCTAGGATTGCCTAGTGTTAATGCTGGAGTTGGAGCTAGTGTCATAGTGTTAGTACTAGCTTAAACTGGAGTAGATTAAGTCTAGCATGAGTGTGACACTGATCAATGGAATCCCCTTAATCTAACAAAGTGCAATAGAGGAAGGATGGTGTAGTTAGACTGTGCGGTGGGCGAAAAGTTTATTAGCGTGTCTTCTCTCGATCAAGTGTATAAAGGACAACTTGAAGAAGACTGATAGATCTCGTTTTGTACCATTTAGAGACTACAAATGCCAAAAAGGACCGTAAATCTAGAATCAAAGCGAAAATTTGGGTTGGATTGGTGTGTTGAAAAAATATTTCTACTGTTGTTGACATGGTAGTACTAATATCATTGGCTACACACTAATGTGGCAGAGTGAGATATGAGTTGCAGAGAAATACTAAAATGTCAGGAGTTGACGTGACAAATTTCTAATGTGTCAAAAAAGGACAACACGTATATGACATGGCACGTGACGCTATCTGCTGATGTGGCAAGCCATGTTGGTGATATATTTGCTTATGTGGTAACACGAATGCTGACTGGGTTTCTGACGTGGCGCTAGGGCAAGTGCAGACAAGCCGAACGCGTGAGATCGCATGACCAGTGGCAGTGACGCAAGACGGTGTGAGTGGAACACCAGGATCTTTGGCGGAGACGTAGTGACGGTCTTGGTCTGTACTTTCAGTTGATGGTGGACATATATGTAATTATTGGTTTTTATTTCCTATTCATACAAGTAAATAAACATGAAGGCTAGGTGACCTAGTTTGCCACTGGTTAGAACTGGTTGAGTTCATAGATAGAGGGATAGTTCCCTACAAAGATCTCACACAGCTATTGCAATTTAAAAAAATAAATAAAATAAAATTGGCAGAGAGACGTAGGCCACACAAACCCCAACATAAATATTAAGCTTCTGGGTTTTCCTTCAATAGTTACACAACAGGACCAAGTGATCCAGCCCACTTTTTATTGTGAAGAAAACAGAGAGAGAGAGAGGGAGGGAGGAAGCTGTAACGATAATACAAGGTGATAGTGCAGTTCGCACTACCTTTTCCTATATATATCAAACTAATAAAGAATCAACACTATTGTTTGTAGAACTCCTGAACAATCCCCTACCAAAAATAAATTACAAACACCAAGAACACAGCTTTTTTTTTTTTTTTTTTTTTCTTTCTCACCTTTCCAAATCCCTCCTTTCAAAAGGAGCAACAACACTTTTTGCATCATCAATCAAAGCCACATTGGTTGGCTAGTTACAGTCCAACCCACATTCCTCTAGAAGTGGACCATCTGATTTTGCCAAGAATGGATCAATTCGAACCCACAATAGGGAAAATATGGAAGCAAGCAAAATGGACCAGACAATGATGATGGTGGGTGTCCTATTTTGCCTGCCCAGTAGACCCTTCAAGAAAGGATAGAGATGGACTATCACCCAGAAGGCAAAGAAAAGCTTGCCAAAGAGAGGTCCCCACGACTCGTACCCGTTGTTTATTGCATTGGAGATACCAGCAACCACTCCTATCAGATTTATTATCAACAGTGTCGTCGGTGGGATGAGTAGAGTGGTCCATTTGAATGCATACAGCTCCGAGAACTCCTCGTCGTCCCCTCCTTTTGATGTCACAGTGAAGTTTGTATCAACTCCAGCTAACACCTTCAAGAGACCTTGGAAAACAGCGAAGAGATGCGCTGAGACACCTCCAATAACCCAAAACTGCTCATTTCTCCACCATTCGTCAATACCAACACCGCTCCATCTCATTTCCAGGATACTCGTTGCAAAAATACAAATAAAAAGGGACAAAAACCACAGGCTCGCAGCATTACTTAGCTGCATTGAAAAAATGGAATCATATTTAGATATAGATGAGTAACGTAAAGCAACATTCATATATGAATCAAGGCCTTTAAGTCATGAATTTATTGGTAGTAAAATCTCTCATACCTCGGGAGTGATGAATTTCCCTGTGAGCAAGCACACAGCAGGCAAAGTACAGTATGCCAAGAGAGGAATGGATGTCCATGGATAAACGGTAGCATTTATGTATGATAGTCGTTCCAGCCATTTCAGGCCGCCTCCATATCCATACCAAAGAGGACAGTGCCTGCTCAAAAAGATTTCAATAGAACCAAGAGCCCATCGAAGGACCTGGTGGAGACGATCAGAAAGATTGATGGGAGCAGATCCTTTAAATGCAGGTCTTGCAGGGATACAGTATATGGATCGCCATCCATGGCAATGCATCTTAAAACCCGTCAAGATATCCTCTGTAACTGAACCATAAATCCAGCCAACCTGGAAGTGGGAGGAAGGAAGAAAAGCTTATAGATTAGCCAAAAGAGAAAGTGCAGCGATTGTAACTAGAGAAGAATTTGATCACAAAGATTGGAACTTTAGCTTTACCTCTTTTCCCCATTCTGATTTATCTTCATAGCCACAGCTAATTACATGAATGGCTTCTTTAAGCAAAGAGGCTGGACTAGCACATTTCAGTACCCCGCCATTCTCTAGCAATGTAGATGCAACAAACACTGGAGATTGTCCAAACTTCTTTTCCAACTTATTCTCGGACGACAAAGCTAACTTTTCACCCTCAGTCCCTGAAATACAAGCTCTTCCATGTCATGTAACAAAATAAACAAGCCTAATGTACAATTTCAAAGGTCAATGATTATAGTTGCTCAATTATGAGGAGACCAACAAGTATAAGTCTACTAACAAAGTTCAACTACAGGGAAAAGAGATTGGATACTGTAACACACAGTACCATGTCAAATTGACAGAACTCTCCCCTCCATAAACATTGAGAAACACTATCTCCAAGTTGCAACTATTTCACAACTTTGTATGCACCAAATTATAAACTTTTGGCATGACCTAAAATTGTCTACAACTTGCTAAGTAATGTATCCTACCAATGACTAAAAAGCAGTTCTAAAAGAGATTACCAGGGCAATTGCCAATTGCGATGAAATTTTGAATGAAATGCACAGGAAGAAAGTTTTAATGCCCAAAATAAAATTAGAAATAAAAGAAAATTTGAGAAAAACATGCATAAAAAACTACATCGGGCGCGAAATTACTGAATTAGTCAACACCCAGTTCAGATGTACAACCTTTATCTTGGGTGCCTTCTTCAATACCCTCCAATGCAAAGACAGTTACCCCTGGATCACCATTCCTCAAATTCTTCTGCTTCGTCTCAGACTTGGGCTTGTTAGTCTTCTTCTTCTTCTTCCTTCCAGAACAACAGCCTCCACAGCAACACCACTTTGGCAAGCAGTTGCACGTCCTTGTTGGTGGTTTCTTTGTCTTTGGAGCATCATAGCCATAAAGAGCATGCCGTCTGAATACACATCCAGTCCCAACATAAATGGGTCCTTGAATGCCATCCAAACCTTTCATGTTAATCTGGCACAGGAAAAATGATGATCAATTTATGAGAATCGATAAACAAACATGAAGCTGCAAAAGGCACTGGAAAGTCTATACTATTGAATGCTTACATCAAAGAATACAGTATTCCGGTTGGCATATCGATCATTCCTGTCAATTCCATCAAACCTCTGTGGAAACTGAACATAGCATACCCTCTTTCCCAGCAAAGGATCCATCATGAAACACATAGATTCCCTTATAGCCTTGCTGTTATTAATATAGTGATCACAATCCAAGTTCAACAGATAAGGTGCATTGGTGAGCACAGCAGAGACTCTGACCTGAAAAACAAAGCCCCAGGAAAAGGAAAAATTATATCATTCTGTCAACTGCTTCAAAATCATGGATCTCATAAGTGGTCTTTGGTTTGTTACTTACTAAAGCATTCATGGCACCAGCCTTTTTGTGGTGATTGAATCCAATTCTCTTTTCTCTAGAAACATATACTAAGCGTGGCAATTCATTTCCATCAGTGTCGTGTCCCCCACTTTGGCCAAGAAAGACCTTTGAAAGATAACAAGAACAATGTTAGAGCTAAAACCGGTCAGGATACAAACATTAATAATGAATCTCAAATAAGTGTACCTGAATCATTCCAGGATGATCTCGGACGTTATTCCCAGGCCATGGAGTCCCGTCCTGCATTGTCCACCCTTCCTCGGGCACCTTTTGTGCTTTTGCAACCAAAGCATTTATCCGGACTTTGAACTCCTCGTACTCTCTCTGAAATGCCAATGAAAAACAGATTTACAACTGTCTGCAACAACCACCAAAATATATGTGTGTGTGTGTGGAGCAATTGAAAGAAAACCATAATAACTCAAAGATCAATGAGTCTTACCTTCATTGCTCTTCGCTCCTTCACAAATGAAGGCAATACTTTATCTTTGAGATAATCAATCTTCTGAGCAAAATAAAACTCAGGAGCCCGTGGCTCAATGTTAAACTTCTTGCAAAATGGCACCCACTTTCGAGCAAATTCAGAAGTTTCTGACAATGCCTCAAATGTCAACATAGCAGCACCATCATCAGATACGTAACATGAGACCTTGTCAACAGGGTAATCCACTGCAAGAATGGATAGAACTGTGTTTGCAGTCACCAGAGGGGGTTCTTTCAAAGGATCAACGGTACTCACGAATAGATCAACCGCAGATAGTTGAGAGGGCTGTCCTTCTTTCTCATACCTAACACACAAACCAATAAGTTAAGATTATAAATTGATCTAACAGCTGGATTTAAGCATAATAGCGTGCACACAAGTTCAGCAGATCACCAACCTCAAGGACAACCTATCTAGATAAGTTTCCCTGTCAATTGGGAGCCACTTCGGGAATTGATCGAGAATCCATGAAAGCCCAAACCAAATCTCACATATCACAGATATAAGCCACAATGCATAAGCATCATTTACAGGATGCAGGACCCGATAGTGGAAGAAGAACCCGAGAACAACAAGCCTAATTATGATAATCATTCGGTAAGGGTTGATTTGACTTGACGGAATTGGCATCTTTCTTGACAATGGCTGTCTTGCCTCATCCATCCTGATAAAAAAGAAAATCAATGTTATTCCAAGATCAGCAATCAGTAGGGATTACATTTTTGAGTGATACGGGAAACCGAATAAGATGCATAACAAAAGTGCAACCAGCATTACTAATCTGCCGCAGCACATTCATTTGGCGTAACCAAGTGTTGAAGGCTAATCAAGATAAGGGAGTGCACATCTAGTTGAAAAACTAAACAATTAAAGATCCGAAAGGAAGGACTTTAACTTGTTAAGAAGTTTCATAGGACTAGCATAGACCATAGGCTATCATAATTTCCACTTCATTAGAAAAGAGAGATTTTATTGTGTTGGGAAGCTTACAATGGTAGGTCAGGTCCGTCTCCATCATCATCCCAATCTTTGCCACCATTTTCGCTCTTCATCATCTGTAGCTTCTCTTGTTTCTGCTTCCAACTCTCCATCCTCTGTTTCCAAGCTACACTTCCATAGCCATAAGCAGCCAAGTCCTTGGAAGGATCCATGGATCTGGGTGGGACTGCAAAAAGGGATTATTAGGCGTATGTTTCGGGTTTTGATTTGCGAAGTCAATGAAGCAATCCAGTTGAGGGCGCAAAGAAAATTACCTGGATGACCAGAATCTGAGAAAGGAAGTGGATGAATCCTTTTGCCTCCACCACTACCCATGAAAGAAGGAACCAATGCATGTTGTTCTGGAGGAATATCATCGACCTGCAAAAGAAACAATGCAGATCAGCCCACTTTTTCCGAAGAATTCAAAAAAAATTTAAGGTCAGAAAGAATGAAATCAAGCAAAGGAAGCAACACAAATCTGTCATAGAAGAATAATTGACAAACAAAAACAAAGAAATAAAGTATTTTCATAACACCGGATGTCAATAAATAATTTTGCTATCAAATGAAATGATAACAGTGGAATTAACACAGATGCAGACATGCAGTGATTTAGACATTCAAACAGAAATGGAAAGAGAGACAAATTGAGAGAATTGTACAAGAAATAGTACCATTTGACCATTGGTGAGAAGAGGAACTTGAGGCAATGGAGTGTGAAACGCATGATGAGACAAGTCAGAATCGTAGGAGCGGCCATAGGTCATGTGGCCACCATGAAGCATAGCCTCGGCAAGAGCATGCTGCTGCGAATCATGACCTCTCCCATCGAAATTGAACTCGTTGTCCACATCATCAATGTCGTCTTCCTCTTCATCGCCTTCAACTCTAGCACATCCTGCTCAGATGATAGCAATTAAAACAAAACAAACAATCTCAATAAAAGGATCAATTTGGAGTCAATTGCATTAGCAAAAACTAAGTGAAAACATCTCCTTCCTACCCTTTAGGCGTTTGTAGCGAGTTTTGCATTGTGGGCAAACTTGGCTGCCTTCTTGGCGCTCATATTCATAGCAAGTTCTGCAAACTGGGAAGGCACACTCATTGCACGCCACAAACAGCTCACCGTCAACTGTCAGACCGACATCGTCACCGCAAATCTGGCAGATTTGACCACTTTGTTGCCGCAATGGCTTTGGCTGCAGACCAAAAATTCAATCCAACATCAACAAATTAACAACCAAGCCTCTCTTTTTTTCCAATAACTTGGGATCAGCTACATGAATTCTATTTTTCCGACCAAAAATTCCATATAAATAATATATATATATATATATAGAGTGAAATTGTCAAAAATAAATAGGGGAGTGAAAGAACTTACCCCAGATTCTCCATCTCTACGTATAACGACCAGCTCATTCCGGTTGTGAGAACCAGCAACTAAACCGGCACTGGCCTCCATTTCTGTTTCTCACACTAAAAAAAACCCCAATTCAGGACAGAAGAGAAGCAAATCTTCTTCAGATCTGCACTAGAAGATGGATAGAAAGAAAGATCTTTTGAACTTGATTTCGATTTGGATAAAGCAATTTCGATTGTAACTTGCAAGAGGACTCTGATCTAGAGGAAGAAGAAGAAGCAGAAGCAGCTTGAGAGAGGAGGGGACAAGATTAGCATATCCCCACCACCATTATAGGCAATGAAGTCTCCTCCACTTGTGGGTATGTGGTGGACACTTCATAGAGAGAGATTTGGGGTGCAGAAGAAGCTTTCTTCCTACTATTGTCTTCCCCAATTGAAAGCACTCTCACCCCTCCCTTTGCTTTTTATTTTTATCTCAGACCTTCTCTCTCTCTCTCTCTCTCTCTCTCTCTCCTATCATTCCTTGCTTCTGACCTCAATCAACAACAACAATAACAATTTAAAGCCTACCACCCACTTCCAGTAAAATATCAACAAGAATCTGCATCTTCTTCTACTATAATAATCCTCTTTTGCTTTTATCTCTCTCTCTTTTTTGGGTCAATGAAAAAAACAATAATCAGCTTAATTAAACAAAGCTGATAGAAATTGTTAGAATAGGAGATGTGGAAAGATTGACACAGAAGAGAAGGGAAAATTGGAATTTTTGAATAAAGAAAGACCCTTCTTCAGCTATGCCAGCCTCATTATTATTGCTTTAACTGTTTTCTCTTATCTCTCTCTCTCTCTCTCTCTGTCTCTCTCTCCTCAACTTTCTTAGTGCCACTCGTTTCTTTTCTAACAATTTCTCTTCCATTATTTTCTGTAAATCTCCGCCGACACAGCTAATACTGTCAAAAACCTCTCTCTTCACTTAATAATGAGCTAATCACACTAGTATAAAAAGTAATATATATTATATCATATATATACAAATATAAATGTATATGTGTGTGTATATATAGAGCACATGAGAAAAAATACTAAAGAAAAGGACAAGATTGGTACGAACCAAAACTAAACATGAGGTTGAACCGTTGAACGTAAAAAAAAAAAAATATATATATATATATATATATGACGATATAATTACATAAACCGCTGCCAATTTATTTTTTTGCAACATGCCAAAATTTTAACTCAACTATTTCTTTTAATATAATGCTTATGAATATTATTAAAAAAAAAAAACCTCAAAAGTTATATTATATTTTTTACTTTTAAAAATAGAAGGTGGTAAGTTTAAGACATAAAAATGAGTACGTGAAGTTTTGGTTAAAAATATGAATATAAAAAAAAATTAAATAAATAAATAAAGCAAACAACACTATTTCGCAACAGCATGTTTATTATAGAGTTTAAGATTTCAAATTTTAGTGGAATTGGCTGTCATTAATATCAGGGGCGGAGCCATGTTTAGGAGGCTAAAATTATGTAATTAAAATTTTAGAAATTAGTTGTAGTATATGGAGGAAAATATAATCCAAAATATTAAAAAATGAAATGTAAATAAAGAGAGATATACCATCGATAAGAGAAAGAAATATATAAACAAGATGAAACCATAATTTACATGTAGAAAGAGAATTGGCATAGAAAAAATACTTTTACAAATTAGTTTTCCTTTAACAATTGTTTCAAATTATGAGGGAAAAAAATGAATACTTTAATTCCTCTTTGATATATATATGTGCAAATATAAATATAGGGTCTGTTTAAGTGTTTAGTACGTGTTTTGTTTTTGAAATTTTTATTTTTGGTCGAATAGTGTAGTAGTGTTTTAGGAAAAAAGCACATTTGATAAAACATATTTTATTTTGTACCGTGTCAAAACGTTTCCTAAATAGTGACTAAAAATTGAAACAACAATTTAGTATTTTTACATGTTTCAGTACTATAGTAACAAATACAGTAACATGAACAGTAAAAAAACTGAAAATTCTTAAATGACATTTTTAAACTAAGCATTATATTTTTCAAACTTGCAACATCGTTTTACCAAACAAAGGTTTTTATATATTTACTTTCAAAAATCTTACAACAAATAGACATTACTAAACATGCTTCCAATTTTATTCACAATACTCTACAACAAAACACTTACTTTGTTTAACATTAAAATAAATACGCAAAATCAGAGTCATTTGCGCGTTTGGTAGAAATATTTTGTTTTGTATAGTTCTGAAATGTTTTGTAAATAGTGATCAAAAGTCGAAATATCAAATTAGTGTTTTTACATGTTTTCGCATTAGTTATTGGTACCGTAGGGGTGAATAGTTTTTTTTTTTAAAAAAAAAAAAAGAAAATCTTCAATAGCATTTTAAACTAATCATTATATTTTTCAAACTTGCTTTATATTTTTACTTCCAACAATCTAACAACAAATGTTCGTTACTAAACATATCTGAATAATATACTTATAATAAAACACTTATTTTTTTATTAAAACAAAAATATAAAAACAAAACGTGTACCAACAGGCTGTACTATGCCAATAATAATTACATGCTGCATTAAAGACTACACAATTTATATTTATATTTTAGAATATTTGAATTTAGCTACAACTAAAAAGGTTGAACTAAAATTTTTATGAATTTCGAAAATATATAAGTTATACTTATTTTTAAACTTATATAGTTGACAAATATGTCTTTTTGAAAAATATTATATTAAGAATTTTAATTCAACCTTTTATATGATGTAATAATATATATATATATATATAGGAAAAACTTAATTGAAGAAATAAATAAAACAACCAACTTTGATTAAAAAAAATGACTTGGGAGTCTTTGGACAAAAGAAAATATACTGCATAGGAGGAACAGGTCGACTAATTAGTAAATGCTGATTCATTATTGGTAGAGTACACGTACAACGTATATATGTATACAATATATTTATACATAGAGAGAGAGAGAGAGAGAGAGAGAGAGAGAGACAGCTTCGCTCATGTGGACTTAGCCGGTCACGTCGGCAAACGGTCCGCTGGCTGTTTCTTAGGACCCCACTTCCCACATGACAGCACACTACTATCTCTCTCTCAGTCTCTCTCTCTCTCTCTCTGTGTAAGTAAGTGGCCTTCTTTGACTTGATCCTTTCAATTTCGAAGGGTGATCGATCATATAAGGGACTCCAACCCAATTACATTCCATTTTTTGATTGATTTGTATGTGCCTAGCGTTTGTGGGAGTAAAAACATAAGTCTCTTAAAAGCTAAACATGCTAGATTGAGATTGATGATGACAAAAAAAAAAAGATTGTACATCTAAATATTTATTATAATATTTGGCAATGTTTGATTTATTAGAAAATAAATATCTATCAAAATTAACTTATTAATTCCGCATTCGGTGAGTGATTTTTTTTTTACCTCCGCTAGATTCGAGTTTCCATTTTCTTTCCTTCAGAAGGTAAGATTCCAATTGAATGAATTGAGCATAGCTGTTTTGTTATTCATTGCTACTCCTTTCATCCCACAAAATTTTTTTTGAAAATTTGGGACTTGCTTAGTTTATAATTATGAAATCAGTTTTTTGTTCTTGGAAAACTGAAAGCAAAAAACTCTGTTTGGTTCAGTGTTCTGAAAACTGTTTTGTAAAAATTTAGTTATAAAAAAGTTTATTTTTAGAGAATAGTCTTTTATAGTTCTCTGAAAATTATTCTCCATTTTCTAAGTTTCTGAAAACTATTTTTTTTTAATTACAAACCAAACATGCCGCTAACGTTTTAAGAGGATGATTTTTAGTATTTTTTTATTGTATTGATAATAAATGAATTATCAAATCTATTCATAGTGGGTTTACATGGATATGATGGTTTTTATAAGTTTAATATAAGAAGGTTAATTTGATAATGTTACAAAAAATAAATAAATAAATAAAATAAAATAAAATTAGTAATTTGATTTTTCAATTGGGACAGTAAAAAATGAAAAGGTAGACATTTTTTGTGGAACGAAAAGAATATTTTTTAGTACAATCTATCAAAATAAGTTTCGATTTTATTTATATGAAAGTTTTATTATTTATAAAAAGGGTAAATTGCACTCACACACCCCCAAGTTTGAGTTTAAGACATTCAGCTACAACTTGGGGAGAGTGTGGTTTAATCGCCCCTCAGGTTTGGAAAATGGGATAAAGACACCATAGTCATGATAAGAGTATATAATTGCCCTTAAACTTGTTAATTGACCCTTTAATTGACCAAAATGGCCATAGGAATGAAAACCTTATCCTCCCTCTTCTACTTCACCCACATTACAAACCCTAGACCTCTCCATCTCCACCGCGCCGCCCCCTCCCCTTCCCCCACCATCTTCGAGTACTCTGACCACAAGTATTCTCATATGACCTACCTCACCCGACTCTATATTCAAGAACTTGCCAGTCCATTATCGGCATTTGGTCGCTGGAGCTTGCTGGTGAAGCCATCACCATCGTTGGAGCTTTTTGTCGAATTTTCTTGCCATCACTAGTTCAGTTCGCATCACCGGGTAGTATTTCATCAGCTGTAGTTTGCAGCCGCTGAGCAGTACTCCTTCACCATCCCTAAGCCGTTTATCCTCATTGTCCTTACTCGCTAAGCCTTTCATCTCGACGACTCGTAGTAAGTCGGTAGTCCTTCATTACGAGCTTCGTCGGACTGAGGCGGGTTCTTATCACATCCGTCATCCTCCATTGCGAGCTTTGCCAGCCAACACGAGTTCTTATCACAATTGTCATCTTTCGTTGTATGCTTTGCCAAACTAAACTCTAGCGTTGGGTAAGCATCACCGAATTGGGTCTCTCTTCGCTGTTAACAGTTTACTTTGGTCTGTTCTTCACCGTCTTCACTGTGAATTTTTTACCATTTTATTAAACTTTGGTTCGATCTGTTCAAGTTAAAGAACTTTGGTTCCGTTTTGAGCTCGTCGATCCATTTTCGGTAGGTTCATCTTCCTTGCTCATCACCGTGGGTTCATTTGGGGGTGGTTGTGGACAATGGTAGTGGTGGGTTCATTTGGAGGTTGAGTGTGCATGCATGTATGTGTATATGTATATATACATATATATGTATGCATATAAGAGAGAAGAAATAAAAGGAGGAAGAGGTGGTGGCGATGGTGGTTAAGAGGTGGTAGTAGTGGTATGCTGGTAGGTGGGGGAAAGGAGAGGTGAAATTGATGGCAAAATTTGTTATTTCATATGTTCATAAAGGTTAAAATAGTATTTTTATGGGTTCATAAGTCTAAGGGTAGTAATGTCTATTTACATAGGTTTAGGGTGTCTTTGTTAACTTTAGTAAAATTAGAGGGTATCATTGTCCAAATAATATTAAAGTTACAACTCGGTATCATAAACCTTAACTTAGAGGGGTGTGAGTGTAATTTACCTTTATATATAAAAAAAATTGTTTTATGTTTAAAGAAAGAAATGATTTTAATTATGTAAACTTTTATCTATAATAAATGCATGTGTTGTTTATCATTAGAAAAAGTAAGATGTTGTATGTATATTGTTTCCCCAACCCTTCAAGGCAAGCATAATAACACTTTTTTCCTTGCGCCGTCAAGGGTTCTCTGTTTATCAAAGGTTTCTCGTTTTATCGAGAGTTTGCAATCAAAGGCAATCTTTTGATCCGCCTTGCAGGTGTTGTGTGGCTCCCAGTGGCTCCGTGGCGTTCTTTCTGGGTCACCGTTTTTGTTACAAGGGGCGTTGTCTCTGTGGTGCTCACTGAATCGACCGAAGTGGGTGTGATTTAGGGGCAGTCTCAACGGATCTATGCATATCCGA